GGGAAATGCAAATGAATCCAGTAGTAGTGGTCGTTTAAACAATAGACAAGTACTATTCTTGTTTTCTCGATTAGCAACTTTAACTATTTATTTTCACTAATAAAAATCGTACAGAGTATAGTCAAAAGATTATCCATAAAAAGTATAATTCAAAATCTCATGAAAAGTGAAGAGACGAAGGTATTTAAATATTACTTGAAAATATAGTGAATGAATTATAACCAGCAATTCATTATTTTTTTCAGGCCATTAATCAAATAGAAGAAGAGCTTAAACTTGCGAAAGAAAAGATTTCCGAAGATGATTTAGATTTAGATATTGTAGAAATAGATTTATCACCCATTAAAGCTAAAAAACAGGAGAAAGTTCTTGAAGCTATTCTCAACATTTTCCAAATTGAAAGGATTGATGATAAACTGTTCATTAAAGTGAGCATTTTTGTCTTACGATTATATGACTTTTATTTTCTGATCTTTATACTATTCACTCAGTTTAATGGCGGAATGAAAGAAGACATACATCTCGTATTGAATGATTCACTTCATCAACAACTTCCAGGTTGGTGGGTGCGGAATGATGTGGCATCAGTTGTTAATCATAACAAATTTAAACCTGACGTAGAGGGATGGAACACGTAACTAACGCACTAGCAAAGAATTGCACCTATTATTAATTCATCTCCACCTCCTTTATTATGGATCGAGGTAACAATTGTTTTCAAAAATATGTTTTTTAACGATCTTTTTAATTTGTTGAATATTACAGGTGGTATTCAATAAGACTAATGATCGTGATAATGCATTAAATAAGATTTCATATGTTCAACCATATTGTCTAAACACCGAATTTGTATTGATTTCTATTCCTTTTGGAACGTCACCCTTTCAAACAAATCCAAATCCTGGCATTGACTCAGTTGTAGCTACGGCACCAAGGGCAAATCGTCCCTCAAGAGCGCCCTATCTTGGTCATTGGGCTGTAGATGTGGGTTTTAATACAGTACAATGGTACAAAATGCAATGGAACGAACATATTATTCTTGATTGTGGGGCGTGTATCTATTTTAATGATGTATTTACCTGTTTGTTATAAATATTTGATATTTTATTTCAATATTAATTAGTTTAGATCTGAAAATAAGGGGTCCAATTGGATTCTCGCTCGGTTAGAAGGTAACTCACATAGGCGTAGAGAGTTTAAATAGGT